GCTACGTTCGTGGCCCCCTCGTCATCGCTCTTTTGAGATCGTGGTCGCGTTCTTGCCGACGATATGAGTCGCACGAGTCATGGGGAACGTTTGTCTGCGGCCCCACGTTCTTTGGCGAAGCGTTCAAAGATACTGCGAATCCTTCAAGGCGTAAGTTTGAAATGAGCGGTCCTCGGTATAGTCGCCTCATGTGTACAACGGGTTGGGTGCGTCCCCTGGTCAATTACTTTTGGAGGGTCTTCTGGGCCCCCCAGGAAAGCGATCCTCGGGCGTTTCTGGGACCTGGTGGGCCTTGATGGGGGCACCTTGAGCTCGAAGACAGCCCCAGAGCGCGTCAGGAAGGCCCGTATTCGCCTCTCCTCTCCGGAAGTTTCGGGATCGCCAGGAGTGCCTCAGAGCGTCTGGGCAAGGGGCTCTTGGGAGCCTTGTGGGGCTTAGTGAGGGCCTCTTGGGAGCCTCTTCGGGCATCTTGTGGCCTCCTGGGGACCTCTTGGGGCGGAGAGCTTGAAATGTCCGTTCGGGTACCCCCTCTGGGCTCCTTCTTGGGGCCGTCCTGGGGCCCTTTCTGGGCCGTCTTGGAAGCCTCTTGGGCCGTCTTGGGGCTCTCTGGGGCCATCTTGGGGCCGTCTCGGGGGCCCATTGAGCCGTCTTGGGGCGATGGTGGGGGCCTCCTGGGCCGTCTTGGAGCGTCGGGCAGCCGAAATGGTGAGAACCCGGAACAACTCCCAAACCCTCTGAACAAAATCTATGTTTTTTGCCTCTTGGGGCCCTCTTGGGAAGCCTCTTGGAAGCCTCCTGGGGCGTCTTGGAAGCCGCTTGGGCTGTCTTGGGATCATCTTGGGCGTCTTGGACCGATGTTTGGGCGTCTCGGGGGTCTCTTGGACTTACTAGGGGGCGTTCTGGGGCCGTCTCGAAGCCGTCTAGGTCCGTTTTGGGGCAGTCAGGAAGGCGCTGGGGGCCCTGGTCCTCCCATAGGCCGCCGTGGTACTTGGGCGCGGCCAGGGAGCCTCGTCATGTATGTGTGTGTAAGGATGTATGCATGCATGCATGCATGCATGTATGCATGTCTGTGTGTATTCATACATGTATACAATGCACACCTATATGTGTGAATATACTACACGCTATGCGATTCTTTCTACTACTGCTACGGCTACCCGAATTAACAGCATTCAACACAATTAATTCACAACGCTACTAAATACCAAGATCAGTTCATAACTATGACCAACATAATCAACAACTGTTAGTACATAGTCAAATATTTTTATGATAAGTATCACAAATCCACCATTAATACGCCGTATTCCCTGCCATATATTTGTATTGTTTGCTTGTCTTGCTTTTCTTGCGGTTGAATTGTTTGCTTTTCTTGCTCGCGGAAGGCCTGCTGAACGAAGGGAACCAGCCAGGCATAGAGAGAGAGAGGGAGAGAGAGAGAGAGAGAGAGAGAGAGAGAGAGAGAGAGAGAGAGAGAGAGACTGCGGGGCCCCTTATCAGCGGCAGGGGCCCGAGCTGCGCTGCATCAAACGCTGCTGGTCGCGCTGGCGCAGCTGCGCGCGGCGTCGCCGGTTGCTGCCGACGCGGCCAGTTGCGACGGCGCTTCCGCGACGCGCGCGGCGCGGCGGCGGGCGCCCGCAAGAGAGGCCGCGACGCGAGCGCGGCGCCAAAGCGCAAGCGCGACACAGAGCGACAACAGACGGGGGGCCCCCGCGGTGCCGCGCAAACCCGTCGCACTATCATGCGCGATCGCGCGCGTCCAGTTTTGTCCCCCAACCGCCGCCAGTAGTCCATTATGATCCAGTCTGGCGGCCCCCCCTCTCACCATGTCCCCGCGCCCCCCGTCGCGCGACGAATGCCTTGAGACGTAGCAGACAATTGCCAGCATCGGAATCGGTTGCGCACGCCGCAATGCTGCTGCATCGACGCACCGCTGCGCGCGCAGATGTTCCGCCCCTCGCCACGATGCCAACCCGCATCGCCCGCGCCCCGCGGCGCCGCGCGCGCCTAACCCACGCGCGCTCATGCCGCCGCGGGCCCGACGGCAAGCGCGCCCAGAACATGCCCACCCACCCCCGAGCCTGGCATCGCTCCAAGCGCGCTGCGACCGCCCCCCGCCACATCTGACCTCGCGCGCGAAGAGTCATCCACCGCGTCGCCCCTCATACCCCAACATCCCGGTGGTCAGCCGAGCCCATGCAATGGCATTGCTACTCTACACGGGTAGATGAGCATATACTGCTACGCGCGCCCCAAGCACCACGCGCCGCCCACCCCTCCCTCGACCGCTGCGAGCTCGCCATCCGCTTGACAAGTTCAAACTGCCCCGCACACTGGCTACGGCCTGCCCAGATCACGCGCCGCCCCTCCACCGCCCACCCCGTGGATCTGCCCAAACCAACGGCAGAACGGCGGGCTCTCTGCCCACGCCACATCAGCATCGCCGCCGTCTGCCGACGGCTCGGCCGACCCCGAGCCAAAAGCGCCGCCGTCTGCCGACATGTCAGGCGACAGCCCGCCGCCGCAAGCTCCCTCGGGCAACGCCCCGTCGCCGCCGCCAACGCGGCGCGCGACGTCGCCTTGCTGGATCACCCGCTCCTTCAGCTCTTGGGCGCACTGGCCGATGAAGACCTCGGTCCAATCCGTTGGCTTTGCCCGTGTCCCCTTCGTTCCATGGGGCATCTCCGATGCCTTCGCTAAGATGCACGCTGTCTTGCGACGCTTGTCGCGTCGCGCCCCGCGCGCCACCGTGAATGGCCACTTTCGGCCGTCGAGCTGGCAACCCTCGAACGCCGCCCTGATGGTTGCGCAGCGAACATATATAAATGCCTCTACCGTGCATTCAAAGTGGGCGATGCGAGCTGCTTGGGCACCAACAAGCACTACATTGCGATTCCATCTCGCTTGATCTTCTCACATCTCTCGTCAGCAGGCTCGAACTCGGTGCATGGGAGATGCAATGATGCAAAGTCTGGCATCGATGTCTCGTCGATGTGCTTCTTGCGGCCAGCGATGATCTCGACCTTTTGGGGGTCCTGAAGTAGCGGGTCTTCTCGCATCAGATGCCCCCGAATGCATTGGCCTATTGCGATGCCGCGCATCTGCTCGAGCTCCGCGAGGACGTTTTGTCTGCGAGCGGGGCGGCCCTGCTCTCCGCCATGGTAGGGGGCCTGCTAAAGACGCGTTGCTATTGTTCGTTAAGTTGCTGCACTGCTTCCAACTATGTTGCTTCGTGGCATGGGGGGCCCGGCGAGTAGCTGGAGCTTGTTTCCCGCTCTTGCTGAGCTCTATCAGCGCGGCGCCACCCCTGAGCGCGGTGCCCCGCGGCGCCCGCGGCTCCGTGAGACACCTGCCCTCGACCTCGACGGCCAACTTGTTGGGCACTCGGTATGGGCGCGGCTCGGGCGCTCGGGCGGGGCCAGGCATTGCGGCAGAGGCGCGCCGCGACGATGTCGCAAGAACGCGCGCGAGGACTCCGGCAGCAGCACGCGTGAGGAATCCGGCAGCATGCGCGGGATATGCCGCAGCAGCGGCAACGTTTCTGAGCCCAGCCGCGAATGACGTCTCAGGCGAGACACCGCATCCAAATCATGAGTGTTCATATCAATCGCTGCGCCCTGCAGGTGCGCCGCCCTGCACGCGTGCGCCGCGGCTGCGCATGGCGCCAAATTGCCCTCTGCTCGTGGTGTGCACGTGTCTCATCTGGCCTTCCTTGCAGCCGTGCTCTCGGGCTCGCTGCCCGTCGCAGCGCGCGCCGGCTTGCCCGCGAGGGCGGCCGTCGTTTCAGGCCACGCGCGCGGCGCGTCGCCACCGGCAAGCTTCCTGCTGCGAGTCAGCACTGGGACCTCCATGAAGCTGGCCCTTGCCATCTGCGCGGTCGCGTTGGCCGTCGCCGCCGCGCCCTCGACGCCCAGCTAGATCGCGGCGGTTGCGCCGGGCGCGGGCCGCTTCAGGCCGCCGGTGCCAGCTGATGGCGTGGATGTGCCCTTCCTCAGCTTGAGAAGTGGGGCGAGCACCACATTGCACGCGTTCTTCTTGAATGGGTCCGCGCGCGCCATCGGACACGCGCTGCCGCCCGACGCGTCACCCGTCGGCTTCTTCAGAATGAGCGAATGCGTGATTGGGACAAGGGCGAGCTCGAGGGATTTCTCGACCTGCAACGAGCGGCGCTTCATCGGGGCAACCGCGCCCTTGAGGTGCCCCAGGCGCGCCTCATGCTTGCCGAACAACACGTCTGAGCCGAGCTCGATCTGGCTGTCCGGGGTGATCCAATGCCAATCCGTGTTTTTGGCCGGATTGGACTCGTGGAGTCCGCCGATGGTTTCCATTATGCAATCGAAAACTGCGAACTTGCCCTGCGAGAAATCATTTGCGTCCTGGATGCGCTCCCTGAGGCCTGACTGAATCTCCCCTTTGCCATCGCCAACGGGAATTGCGGTCAGAGGGAGGGGGCGATCGGTCATTCACTGTCCCTGGGTGCGTTGCTGCAGCGAATCCGCTGTAGCGATTATGTATGTTGCTTTGTTGTTGTTGTTTGTGGTGTTGTCGTTGTTAGTATTGTTGTTGTTGTTGTTGTTTATTGTCGTCGCGCCCCCCCCCCCCCCCCCCCCCCCCTGCGACCCGCCCGCGGCCCGCCCCGCGACCCGCCCCGCGACGCGCTCCGCGACCCACCCCGCGACCCGCCCCGCAGACCGCGACGCGCCCGCGACCCGCCCCGCGACCCGCCCGTCATTGCTGCGCGGTGTCATTGTTGCGCGGTTGGAGCCCCGAGCGGCGAAAGCGCGCGTCGACGGCGCGTTCTCGGACCCTTTCGTTTTAGAAGGCACGGTGTTCCAAGGCACTGTTCTAGGCCCTCCCTTCTGGAATGTCTCCTACGCAGATGCCGGATTGTCGATCGCGACCGCCGGTGTCGAGGAATGTGTTTTCGCGGACGAGGCGACTTGTTGGGGGGCGTTCAACGGCGCGTCGCGCGACGCAGATATTCTTCAAGCGCGCCGCGCATGCCAAACTTCGCTTCGCACGTGGGGGGCTGCCAACTAAGTGCTTTTCGAACCAGAGAAAGAGAGCGCGTGCATCTTGGACAAGGTCCAGCCGCACGGGGGCAACTTCAAGAATTTGGGCGCCGAGTTCGATCCTGCGCTTGCCACGTTCTACGCCGCCCAGAAGATGCCCACAGAGGCATCCTGGGTATTGAAAGCGCTGCTCCGGACGGGCCGCTTCTACTCCACCAAGGACATGGTCCGCCTCTACAAGTGCCACGTGCGTTCTTTCATCGAAGGCGCTACCATCGCGATCTTCCACGCCGCGGACGCGGCCCTGAAGATGATTGACGACGTCCAGAGTGAATCCCTTGACCATGTGTCTCTGACAGACGAGGAAGCGCTCTGCGACTTCAACTTGGTTCCTCTGAAAATGAGACGTGGCATTTATTTTATTGGCCTTCTGTTTCAAATGTCTTGCGGCCGTGCCCCCCCTGCTCTCTCCCCCTTGCCCCCCCTGGCCTCTGGGGCTCTCGAACGGCGCGGTTTCGCCGCAAACCGACGCTTCCACATTGAGCTTGAGAGACCCCATTGGGCCAGGCCATCATGCGATTCTCCAACGATCGATTTTCGGCATGGCTCGTGTCTTTAATTACCTTCCGCAGCGAGTGGTTGACTGCAGGTCTGCGAAGGCATTCCAGAGGCTTCTAAACGAGGAGGCTAAACATGCCGCATCTTCTCGTGCCAGCGCGCGGCCGTTGATGCACTCGCCACGCAGCCGCGCCCAGCAGCGAACTGGCGCGAATCGGCATGAGTTTTCTTTTTTTTTATATGATATATATATATATATATATATATATATATATATATATGGAAACCGATATATATATATATATATATATATATATATATATATATATATGTATGTGTGTATATATACGCATACATATATATATAGTTGTATGTGTATATATATATATATATATATGTGCAACCAAAGAAAAACAACTACCCGCGACCCACCCGCGACCAACCCGGCAACTTACCCGCGACCCACCCGCGACCCACCCGCGACCCACCTCGCGACCCATCCGCGACCCACCCACGACCCATTTGCGAACCCACCCGCGACCCACCTCGCGACCCGCCCGCGACCCACCCGCGACCCTCCCGCGACCCGCCCGCGACCGATCCACATTGGCTTGCAGGAAAAATCGGCGCCTGCGGCGGCTCGTTGCACGTGGGACCCAGCAGGTGCGGATCAAAGTGAGGGGGCGGCGGGGGCGCCAGCAGTCTGCGAGACTCTGGAGAAGACAGCCGCAGGCGCCAAAGTTTCACCAAGTACGCGACAAGCCCGCCACGGGCGTCGATTTTTTTTCAAACCGCTGCGGATCGGTCGCGGGTGGGTCGCGGGGGGGGTCGCGGCTGGATCGCGGGGTAGGTCGCGGGGCGGGTCTGCGGGGGGGTCGCGGGCGAGTCGCGGGGTGGGTCGCGGGGTGGGTCGCGAGGCGGGTCGCGGGGCGGGTCGCGGGGCGGGTCGCGGGGCGGGTCGCGGGGCGGGTCGCGGGGGGTCGCGGGGGGAGCGGCGACAACAAACGGCAGCGACAACAACGACAACGCAACAAAATCCCCGCCGCGGACTCTCACATTGCCACGCGCCCAGGGACAATGAATGACCGATCGCCCCCCTCGCTCTGGCAACATGTGAAACTTTGGCGCCTGCGGCGGGCTACTCCAGGGCATCGGAGACTGTCGGCGCCCCCGCCGCCCCCTCGCTCGCGTCCGCATCTGCGGGGCACTGCGCATGACATGCAGCCCCTCCTTTCTTGACGCCGCGCGCGGCGGTGCCCGTCTTGGACCCCTTGCCTTGTGACGCGTCGATCTGGTTTATCCACTTGCCACGTTGGTTGTGCGTTGTCACTGTGGCATCGGGCATCTGCTCTGACGGTGCCGCGGCCGCGTCGGACTGTTCCTGCCGGCGAGGGCAGGGGCGGCGCGTCTCGCCCGCGCAGGTGCGCAATGCTTGCGAACGGTCGAAAGCAGATGTTTCCGATGGGCACGGCCCACGCCGCGGGGCCCCAGGCGGCGTTCTCGCGGGCGGGGCCAAATTGGATTGCGACCTCTCGCAATTTCACCAACGCCGCCTCTCCTTGCATTGCGATCCGGGCTTTATCGCCGGCATGCAACGCTGTGATATGGCGAGCCTCCAGAAAGAACTGCTCGTCCCCATTTCTGGAATACTCCTCAATCTCCGACCCCGTTGCCGTCGCGCCTGCAAGTCGGCAGAGCGTTGCCGAGCCCCCGTTGCAAATCTCGACAGCGGCGAGGGTTGATGCCGCGCCACCCCGCGCCACGTTGACCAGTGAAAAAACATCGCGAAGCTCGTGCAACTCCCATGGGTTCTCGACGCCGCCGCTCAGTTCCTGCGCGCGCGTGCGTAGATCCGGCACCTCGTGCTTGCATGCGAGACCGGGCCCGATGTAATGCTCGTGCTGCGCGCTGGCCCGCAATGCGTCGCGGTTCGAGCCCTGCGCCCTTTTTTTTCCGGGGGCCGAAATCATGAGCACGACTTCCGATCTAGTCTTAGCGCTTGCAGCGACATAGCCCGCGCGGCCAGTTTCCCGAGCAAAAGGCGGCATGATGGACACATTCTCAACGAGCGGCCATTTGAATGCATCCCACACGACGCCCTCGCTCGCAGCTGCAGCGTACAAGGGCTGAGCTCCGCGGGGCCTCGACGGGGAGAGGTTGCCATCCTGCGAAAATGTCGCAAACTGCTGGTGATCTGTTTCGGGCACTGGTGCCCCGTGCCAGTCGCATCGAAGCCCCTGAGACGCGTGCCTGCACGTGAAGGAGACGCACTTCCCGCCGTCCTCATGCGCAGGCTGTTTCCCTGCCAAATCCGACACCGTCTTATCGTTTAAACACTCGATGGCCCCAAATGTTGGAACATTGAGAGGGGGGCACCTAGCGCGAGTAGGTATCAACAGATGCTCGTTCCTGACTCCGTGGTTGGAGATGTTTGAGATGGGGTCGGCCACATCACTTGGTACAACGCTGCGTCCTTATATCTGTACCCACGTACATGTATTTGCTATGATTACTTTCTCTCGGCAACACATTGCTGGTTATGGGGGGCTCTTTTGCCTCCTCATGCCAAGCCACAACGGACGCATCATGCATGTCATATTGTTCCGCAATCTCGGCTACGCGGGGCTTGCAGTTTACGACCCGTCATCATGTTAGAAGGTGTGCCTTGCACGAAACTGCGACCTACCTTTGTTTGAGACTCAATGTCTACAGAAAGCGACATCATGTCTTCTAGATGCAACATCGTTCGACCGTTCTCCGCACAAGTGGGAATTCGAAGCATTCTGTATGCGAGATGACACCTCGCAGCCATGAGCGGGATCTGGAAACACATGATGCACGCGCGCAAACATTAATGCTAGCATTGCGCTGTGGGGGCGCATTTAAATGTTCGTGAACTTACTAACTGTTATAAGTCTGCCTAAATCAAGAACTGGAGTTCTACAAGTTATTCGTACAGAGGCAACCTATAAATAGTTATACTTGCTGTATATACAACCTACCTAAGAATCACTTACAACACCGGTATAAACGAGGCTAAATATTGTAGAAGCCCCGCGGGCCTCCAGGCAAGCGCGCGGCATTGTCCTGGAACTGCGTGGGCAGCGTCCAGCGGCGCCTGCAAAGCAGAGGCGCCAGCCGCAGCCTCAGCGGCCCCCGCGCACCTCGGCGGCGGCGCACCCGAAAGCCGGGGCGGGGCCGCCAGCTCGTCGCCAGAGGGAGCAGAAGCCAGCAGCGGGGCCGTCGCCGCCGCCCAGGCCGCCGCGGCCACGGAGGCAGCGGCAGCGGCAGCAGCGGGCACGGCGGAGCTGCCAGCGGCAGCGGAAGCCGCCGCGGCAGCCGTGCGAGCGGCGGCGCGGACGCCACCGGCGCCGAAGGCGCCAGCGGCACCAGCGCCCCCAAGCGGCGTGCCGAGCGGCGGGCGCGGGGGCCGCCGCAACGCGCCAAAAACGCCAGGGGCAGCCGCCTCCGCGGCGCGGGCGGCAGCGTTGCGGCGCTGCCGCCGCCGCTGCGCCGTGGCAGTCCCCATCGCCCGCGGCACGGGCAGCCAGGAGGGGGAGGCCCGCGGGGGTGGCCCCTCCCGGCTCCGCACGGGCCCCCGACGGGCACGGGGCCGCATGCCCTGGGCGCGGCAAGCCGGCTTGGCTCCCTTGAGCCAAGGCTTGAGCCAAGGGCTACGGAGGAGGCGCGCGCACACACAAAGACACATGCACACATTCACACATTCACGCACTCACACTCGCACTCACGTTCACACTCACACTCACACTCGCACTCGCACTCGCACTCGCACTCGCACTCACACTCACACCCACAGTCACACTCACATGCACACTCACATGCACACTCGCACTCACACTCACACTCACACTAACTCACACTCACACACACACACTCACACTCACACAACCACTGACACTCATACACACTGGGGGATGCGGTAACAACACGCTCATCCGTGAGGACTCGAACACAAACACACGTGTGTTTCGGTTGACTGCTTTCCACTAGATTCCCACGTGTTCGTTCTTTGCTGTCTATGCGTGTTTACCCACATCCCTATCCCTGTGCTCCTTCCGTATTCCCGCTTAGATTTGTTCGAGCCGCCTCACGTCTGGGCTCGGACCTGGCTCGGAGTCCTTCCCAGGGCGTGGCCGTCTGGCGGAATCAAAGCCGACGAGCCGAGGTCGAGGGCCAACGAGCCGGGGCTCAACGCCGCCGAGGGTCGATCGCCGCCGGGGGCCCATGCCTCGCCCACCGTCGCGGTCACAGTCGCAGTCGCCGCCGTCGCGTCGTCGTCAGCGCCGCCGTCGTAGCCACAGTCTCCGCCGCCGCTGTCGCCGCCACCGCTGGTGTGGTCGTCGCCGTGATGGACGACGCCTGTCGTCGCTGATGTCGCCGTCGCTGCCGCCGTGGTCGCCGCCGCCGCAGCCGCAGTCGCCGCCGCCTGGCATCGCGGTGGTGGTCGGCGTCGTCGTGGTGGTCGCAGCCGTCGCCGTCGCCTGCTTGGCGGTCGCCGCCGTCGCCGGCCGCCGACGCCCAACGCCTCGGCCTGCGGCGCCGGGGGGGCGCTCTTGCCCGCGTCAGGGGCGGCGGGGTTCCGATGCCGCACAGTGGCCGCCTGCGCGGGAGGCCGGCGCAGACATCCAGCACCATGGCGAAGATCGGGGGCCCCCTCCGAGGGGCAGCTTCGGGCCCCGACGCCACCAGCAGAAATCCGAGGCTCTGGGCCCGGCGGCAACCTCGTCACCCACAGCTACACTCCCCTCGGAATTCTGGCCAGGGCGCGCCCGGGACGGGCACTGTGTGGCGGTTTCTCGGAGGGAGAGAACCGGCGGTTGGCGGTCTCTACCAAATTCTGCCTCAGACATGCCTACGAGCCGACGGCGGCCGCAGGTACGGTCTGTGCACCGCCTCTAGCTCCAGGGGCCCCGCCTGAGTCTTAAGAGCGTCAGAAACCAGCTCAAGGAAAAAGCTGGTCACAGGGAAAA